AGCCCTCTTTCCAGACTTCAGTGTCAATCTGGGGAGGATCCCAAGCTTTAGTGCTTAAAAAAAAAAACCTACCAATTTGGGCCCTCCCTGGTGGCACAGAGGGTTTAAGCACAGCACTAAGAAGCTAAAGCCACTTCAGCATGAATTTGTTCCGGCTCCAGAGGTGACCCACATGGCACAGCAGACCTCTTCTGACCCGCCTGCTGCTCCCCTCAGCAGTGTGCTTCCTAGATCTGCCTTTTCTGCTCCCCACTCTGTTTCTGGTGGATTCATTCACTGCCCTGCACCTCTGGCCTGTACCCCAGCTCTGTATGCATAAATAAATAAATCTTTAAAAAAACTACCAATTTAATGGGAGCTTTTGGTTTAGGAGAGTTACAGTGACCACATCTGATGGGAGAAACCTTATATTGTCAAAACTTTTAAGGATGTAAAACAATGGTACTTCATTAATAAAAATTTGCATATATATGTATGTATGTACTTATGTATGTATATAGAACCCTACTCATTTGATTCTATAGTGTAGCCAGAGCTGACAACCACTGGGCTAGGTTTATTCACATTTCCAAACAAACACCACCACTTTCTCTATCAAGATGTTCTTGGCAATGCCAGCTTCAGATGTTTGCACTCTTCCCTGAATTCTTTAAAAAGTTGACATATTGGAGCCCTCCTTGGTGGTGCAGCGGGTTAAAGCACAGCACTGAGAAGCTTAAGCCACTTTCCCATGAGTTCGATTCCCGCCTGCCCCGGAGGTGACCCCATGGCCACATGGCGTGGCAGACCTCTCCTGACCCGCCCGCTGCTCCCCTCAGCAGTGTACTTCGTCCATCTGCCTGTTCTGCTCCCCACTCTGTTTCTGGTGAAGCCCTTCACCGCCCCTGAGCCTCTGGCCTGTACCCCAGTTTTAAATCTTTAAAAAAAAGTTGACATATTATGCTGAAGTGTGCAGCTCTGCGAATGTTTACATGTGTGGACACCCAGGTAACACCACCTAGATTAAGATATAGAGCATTGCCTTGCCAGCACTCCCGAAAGCTTCCCCCTGCTCCTTCCTTGTCAGCATCACCCAAGGGTACGTGCGTTGCTGACTTTTGTCCCCACAGATGTGGAGTGCCCTCCTTGCTTGTTGTCTCACTTCACACAGGCAAGACTTGCTTTGTTCTAGCAGCTCTTATCTGCTTGACTTCCATGTATACATCCCTCACCTACTGTTATCCAACCTTTCTTGTTAGTGAGTCCTTTCTCCTTAAGTGGATTTTAAGCTTCCTGAAGGCAGAAATTGTGTTCATGTCTAGCATATTTCTGTGCACATAATAGAAGCTCAGTAAATACGGAATGAATGCTGGGTTAAAATGAGTGGGGAGTAGCAGTGAGAAGATAATCAGATCAAGACAAAGGCTTCTCTCTTCATTTTTCTCCATATAACATGCAGTTTATTTTTACTGATAGCCGTACATATAATATTGGGATTGTGTATTGTTTTTTGTTTGTGGGTGATCATGCATGTATTTAACTTTCAGGTTAGATTGTGGGTAGAGGGACAGGAGTGAATTCTAAGAACGTAGGGCAGGAGGAGAAAAGGTCAGATGGTCATGTCAAGGAGAATGAACTTGCTCTGGCTCATGCTGTTTAACCCCACGTTGTAGGGTTCACTTTCTCACTAAGTTGGGTGATCTTAGGAAACTCAATCACTGTTCTAAGCCTCAGTTTGTGCCAGTACAACAGAGGCAATAATTTCTGAAACTTTGCACTCTGCAGGCGGTCAGCTGAGCTTATAGCTGAGAAGTCCATTTGGATAGCAGACCTAAGGGTATTGTTTCAGTCAGCAGAGAGGTGACTCAGACCACCAAGCAAGGTAAATCTGTCTTCTGCTTTAAGATTTAAACATGCCTTTGATGAAAAGGAGGGAAGGCTGAATTCCTAGAATCAAAGAATACTAGAGCCAGCAGTTATCTTAGAAACCATTCCAGATGAACCCCCTCACTTATCTGACTTCCACTGAAGCCTGGAGAAATGATTTTCCCTAAGGTCTTGCTGAATGGAACCAATGGAACCTGAATTCCAGGTTGCTGTGCATAGATACTTACAAGACACTACTTAAAAAGCAAGGATCATTTACTCTTATAACTGTTTGATGACAAGAAACCTCAAGCTTGGAGCCCAGCAAGCAAATGATCAGGACATTTGTCTGAAGGTTTTTTCAGTTTCTAAAATTTGACATGCTATTTTAGCTCAATTATTGCTTGTCTGTTACCTACAGGAACAACGATCACCTTGTGTTTGTCTCAAGTCCCTTACATTTGCCACTCTGCAAGGTGCTGGGTGAGGGAATTAGAAAAGATTAAGACCCATCCCCTACCGTCAAAGATCTGAGTGTGGGAGACAGGACTAACAATGAGAGAACAATGGAAGGCAGTATGTGATTCAGAATAAAATGAGTAGTGCAGGCAATAAATGCTGTACAAGTTCAGAAGAGAGAGTTCTGGAAGCTGGGGGTGGGTGTTGGGGAGAGTGCAATTTCACGTGGGCTTTGAAGGATGGGTAAGATTGTTTATGCAGATGTGGGGGAGGGCACTCTACTTGAGTGTATGCACACACATGCACGCACAGGTGCAGAACAGGGTGACAATAACAGGTGGCATTTACTGAGCACTTTCTATGCACTAGATGCTACATAATGTTCTACATGATTCAGTTCATTTAAATGTGCACAACCCTAGGAATTAGGATATTTATCATCGATAACCCTTTAATTGGTAGATGGAAATGGAGGCACAGAGAGATTGAAGAAATTTTCCAAGCCAAGGTGACACAGCAAGTAAAGGGCATAGCCAGAATTAGAAACCAGGTCTTAAAAACACTTGGCTGGTCTACCTGTGAAAAAGAGGAATTCGTGGCCCTGGCAGGGAATTTGGCCTCGTTACAGTTATTAAAGCCGGTCAGTTTGTAAACACAAGGACCCATGAGACCAAATTCCCAGCTGAAGTTCAGCATGGAAATTGGAGGAATTAATGAAGCCACTTAATGAGTGCTGTAACCTCATTCATACTTCCTTGATGATTGGAACTTGATGTCTCCAGATGCTGCATGCCATTGCCAGGAGATCCACAGCCTTGCCTGAATGTTCTGGTGGTTATGTTCCAAAGGATATAACAAAACACCTAAGGAGAAAGAGCCCCAGAGCCTCTGAATCAATTCGTGCTTCTTGTTGTTCTTTATTAATTAGCACTTGAAGAGCATCAGGCCAGATGGTAGATGCTGTACAAAGCTAGGAATTAGATAAGGCTACCTGGTTATATTTGTCGGGAAAAGCAGACCTGGAGAGGGTGGGAGGCAGTGGCCCGATAATACGGTAGATTGTGTTTTTTTGTTTAGGTCTGGCTGGCAGCCAATACCCGAAAGTGTTTCCTAGGCAAGGTGCCTGTGTTTTTCTGGATATTCTCCTAACTCATTGAGTCTTCAATACATTTTGGACTCACATGTGGTAGATTCTGAGAACGTCTTTTTTTTTTTTCTGTTTCCTTGTCCCAGGAGCAGCAAATGACAGGCTAGGGGCAGAAAGCAGCAGGACCAGGGACTGGGTTTGCAGTGCCAGCCCAGATACCGTGCTTGGGCCCCTCCCACACCCAGAGTCCAGGCTGGCCTTTCAGAGGCTGGCCTTGAGGCCAGAAGCAGGTTGGGAAGCAGCTGCTCCCCGGCAGGGAGGGAGGCGGGAAAGACAGCAGGGGAAGCGTCTTCTCTGGCTAGTGGGAGATTGAAGGCGTGGCGGGAGAAAGGGAGAAGGAGGGCCAGGAGAGGGCGTGTCAGGAGTGGGCTGTGTGGCCTGAGGTAAAGAGAAAAATAAGGGACCAGAGCCGAAGGGGGAAGAGCTGGAAAAAAGAAGGAAAAGAAGCCTCCGTCCGTTCAAGGCACTGAAGTGGGGAGTGGCTGCGTGGCTAGAAAGGTGAGAGAAGACGCCATCCCGGTCCCGCGCGAGTCTGCTGTTTAAGGGCAGAAAAGGGGAGACGCTAGGAGGTCATACCCAGGAAAGAGCGCAAAGCAAAGCTTGCCTCGCCGCTCCTCACTAGACCTGCGTTCCCTAAGAACTTGGTGAGGGTGAGCTAAGGGCCCTCTAGATGCTTGGGGGTACAGAGAAGTGCCCCCGGGGACCAGATCTCTGGAGGTGGCGTCAGTTCAAAGGGCTCCAGTGCGGAGGCGAATTCCGTCCCGGGCGGTGAAGGAAGGTGGCCGTGCACGCGTGCCGGCGCCCGGAGTGCAGAAGACCAGGCTGGCCGGCGAGCGGGGAGGAGGCGGAGATGGGCCGGAGCAGGG